CCCCAAAACCCCAAAACCCCTACCATCAATATTCATGTTAAACATTAGGATGATTATAATAAATCTTATTTACAAATTCAATTCTATTCATCCAGTAATTATAATCAAGTCATATTTAGTGCTGGATTTCTTTTTCTTTATAATCTTCGTAAAAATAAGAATATATCGTCTCATAGATATCAATGAGTACTTATTTAATCACTTGATTTATTCCATAAGGGTTAATCATCCACAAGCTTGTCATTCCGATTGCCAAAAATATCAGTATAATTAGCAATACTAGCAAAACTTTCACAGCCTTTCGAACTCTTTTTCTTTCCCAAACCCCTTATTCAGGCTGATAATGTTTGTTAAGATTGTAACTGCCGTACTGGCTGTCAAAGAAGAAGTGATTCTCATCCATATCAAGTCTGTCATCCTCATTATTGTCATTCATCAGCTCATTAATATTATTTCTGACATTTGCTTTTCTGATTCGAGGAAGTTTCAGATTGTAGGCTTCATCATGGGTAATGATGAAAGATTTCATGATATTCTATATATCATTCTCATGTATCTTGGCAATTAAGATACATTTTCCATGTCCAAAAGGATGCTCTGGACTATACATCTCGAAAAAATTGTGGTTTAAAGCCTCGTTTTAAAAGCTGATATTTTAATTTTCGATATCGAATTAATCCATTTCTTTAAGTGCATCTGGACTAGATGGATTATTCTTGGACTGCCCCATGACTACCTCTGCATCATCCATAAAATTTACAAACTCTCCACTGATACTAGCCTCTACCAACTCTTCGTTTTCAGATATCTTACTCTTATTAGAGCTGCTTTCGGAAGAGTAAAACATGGAATTCTTTTTGCTCTCACTAACTCTCTTAAATGATTTACTTCTGCCTACTTATGTTTGAACTTACCCAAACAAGCTATACATCCGAGGTTTAGAATCCTTTTTCTAGGGAACCATCATAGTTTTCTTTCTGATTGAAACATCTGGTGAGAAATTGCTCACCTTAACCAGCGGGTTCATCTATTCTTTTAATTTTTCTGTTATTTTCTTTGATGCTTTTGAGAGTATTGATCTACTTTTATTGCTATGAGCCTTTTGATCTTTTTTTGGGGATTGTTATTGAATGAGAAACGCAATAAATTTGTCAAATTCTGCTTTAAATTTCTCATTGTTAATAATGACTAGACCATATGTTACTTAATTCAGTAGAATTTACTCCTTTTCAATTTCATAGTGATGCTCTGAGTCAAATCTACCCTTTTTCTTCTCTGTTGGCATGACTGATTTATACTATTAGAGCTGAATGCTTCCACGATCAATTTCAGTGTAATCAAACCCAGTGAGTCTTGAAGTTTTCTTAGAAGGTCCGAGTTTTCTACGATTATGGCCTAGGAAGAATGATGCTCTTTTCATTATGCTCTTTGGCATAACTGTTAAGAAAGGATTTTGCAGCTTGTAGTTTGATAGCTCAGGATTAGTATAGTTCGAGTCATCTGAAACATTTGTATTAAAGGTTTGAATGACCTGCTTATGATACTGACTTCTCATAAATGGTTTGAATACTACTTTCATAAATACTTTATTCTTATATCCAAAGAAGTCACCAACAGTGAAACTTACAAACTTGTCAAGCAACTTTAGATCAAATAACTTTCTTTTGACAGTAGAAGGCTTTTGACTTTAGACTCCATTTTGCTATTCATTAATTGGATCCTTGGACTATCCTTCTTTGGGCAACTGAAGTAGATTAAGTTACTAATTTGACTTAGAAGCTGACTACTACTACTGTTATAGTCTGTCCTCATTCATATTTACATTTGAGAAGTCATCTTCTGTTTTCAAATCCAACTGCTCTAAAGTGTAGAGTGACTCAGTGCCCTTGAGCATTTTAGACCACATATTCATGCTGAACTTTTAAAGTTTCTTTTTTAGCACCTGCAGAGTCTCAAACTTCTCGATTCTAAACTCAGTGGTGCCATATACCAGTAATTCTGTATCGCTGAACATGTTGAAAACAACATGAAGCCACAGATCATGACTCTCCAATTCAAAGTAGATCTCTTCATTATCTTACAGCACATCTATCACTAAATCTGAGTCATCTAAGAATGCCTGGGTTGATCTTCTGATAATCTAGGAAGCCTGCACATTTCTAAGGTTTCTATAGAGCTCGTAGCTCGATTCCATAATCTCTCCAATTCGCTTTTTTAAAGTTAATATGGTATCATTCTCTTGAATATCAATCAGAAAGCTTTTTTAGTGGTCTGATTCGAGAGTGGCTTTTATGTGCATTTGTCCTTTGTTGAAATATCCCTTTTCATTCATCTGGATAAATATCTCTCCATAATCTGATATAAGTGAAGATTGGAGTAGTAGATTGATGGAGTCATTTTATTGTCTTTTGTCTACTTCATTTCTAGCTATAAACATTTTTCTTATTATTTATCTAAAAATCTTATTGTTTATTTCTTGTGGGGTTTTGGGGTTTTGGGGTTTTGGGG